AAAAAAAAAAAAAAACCTCTCCAACACCCAGAGAAGACCAGTGGGGTTAGGGCTTCCTCTTTTTGAGGGTTTCAGATATCTCTCTGCTCAGCGCTTTGGTAGGTTGGTTAGACATACAGGGAAGCCGCTGAGCCTCACCTGGAGTCCAGGTGAAGGTGCTCAGAGCAAAGAACAAGAGCAGTTTGGACCTTGATGTTGCCCGTTCTAAAGACCTAACAGGTCAATCAGGTCTATACCAGCATAGGCTCACCCGCACCCCAATTCTGGTGAGCACCCAGCACACTGGCTCAAGAAAATATAGCACATCCCTTGTAAATGATGCTTATCATGGTGCGGTTGGTCTTTCTGTGACCAGGGACAGAGTGTACAGGGGACCGAGGGGGAGGAAGCTGGGCTAGGCAGGAACCACTTCTGCTTGGGGGAGCTGACAGTCTTAAGCAGCCCCACTAGTAGCTCTGTGGTGACCACTGGAGGGGTCCCATGGGGCTACATGTTGGCTTGCTCTGGAAGGCCCCTCCCGGCACCTCACTCTACTTGCAGACACCAAAAAATGAGTACTTTCTGTAACTGGGTGGTGGCACGAGAGATGATTTTTATCTAGTCATCTGTATTTTCTTTCTTTCTTTTCCTTTTTTTTTTGGAGAGGTTTTTGCTATAGGGTGTGTGCATTCGCCAGACAGACAGAGACAGAGAGACAGAAAGCGAGAAATCATCCCCCGGGGGGGACGGTCACGCCACAATCCCTTCTCCTCCATTCTCCTCTTGGGATCTTGGGCACGCGTGCACATGCGCCCAGCATGAGTTTTAAGCCACCAGGTCTGGGACTCGAGCCACGGTCAACTACATGGGAGTCCGGTGACATAGCCATTATGCCAACTGCTGGTCCCAAGTCATCTGTATTTTCTAATATTTTATGAGCAACTCATCATATTTTTGCCTCTTGCTTTAGATGACACAAGTAATGCATGTTTGCGGCAGAAAAGCTGCAGGAGCCAGGGCAGCAGAGGGAAAAAAAAGAATCCCACATTACCTAGAAGGGCTGTTGGGGTGAAGAGAGGGGGCCTGATCCACCAAGGCAGGACAGAGGAAAAATGGGGGCTCTGGAGGAGCAGCTAGCCTAGGCAGAGGGAGGTGGCAGCCCGCCTGGTTGGTGTCTGTAGGGCCCCAGAGGGAAGACACAACTGGACAACCAGGTCTGGAGCTCAGGCAGGGCAGGGGTTAGAAATTGCTTAGGGACAGCATGGAAGCAAAGAGGTGACCCAACATTCATGGTGAGGGGACAGGGTGCAGCCGTGCCGGCTGGGGAAGAAGCACCAGGTGGCCTCAAGTAGGCCCCAGGAATTGGAGGGAGTGGAGGCCTGTGCCCTGATGGTGTGAGTTGCAAGGTTTGGAGAGGAAGCCCTTTCCCCATGACCTTCCACTTTATAGGCCCCACAGGCCCTGGCTGCCTATTCCTCTTTCCCCCAAAAGGGCCTTCTGCACTGGTCCATCCAGGCCTGGCCTTCCCTGACCACCCTGAAGCCACCCCACAGTGCTGATTGTGTCTGCTGCCCCAACCTCAGGTCATGAGGTTAGGGATTCTTCTGTCCTGTCTGCTATGCCGTCCTGTGCCCTGAACATTCCAGGAAGTCAGTGCACATGTGTTGAGTGGCCAGCAGGACAGCCCTCTCTTCCCTTGCAATTGGGGGAGGCTCATGGATAACAGAGGGGTTGGGGAGGGCCAGAGGTTTGAGATCAGAGATGGTACTCACTACCATATGTTGATCATGGTATCATGGTGCCTTTTGGGGCAAGTAACATGATACTCCAGCATGATGAAAAGGGCCATCAGGCAGTCAGCTGGTGGTATGGTGGTTAAGGCAACTGGATCCCACATGGCTGACAACACGGTTCAAGTCCCAGACCTGGCAGCTTGAAGAACATGCCAGGTGTGTGCGTGCGTGCGTGCGTGTGTGTGTGTGTACCCAAAATCCCAAGAAGAGAATGGAGAAGGGAGTCAGCATGACCACCCTGACAGAGGGTGCTTTCTCACTTTCTCTCCCTCTCTCTCTGATTCTCTCCATCGAGTACACATACCTTACAGCAAATTAAAGACGGGGGAGAAAAGGATCATTAGGGGCCAGCCCATGGCATGGCATGATGGTTAAGGCAGCTAGATCCCACACGGCCAACTGTGCTGTGTGAGTCTCTAACCCAATGTCTCGACAAACATGCCAGGCATGTGAATGTGCATACCCAAAACTCCAAAGGGAGGGGAAAATAGAGAAGGGATTATGGTGTGACCATTCCTCGTGGAGGATGCTTTCTCACTTTCTCTCTCTCTTTCTCCTCTCTGTCTCTCTCACACTGACCAGAGGCAAAGGTAGGTTAAGAAAATTTCCCTGCTTCATCCCAAGCAGCAACAGAAAGAAGCTGTCTCTGGACATAGGAGGTAAGTCTTTTTTTTTTTGGAGAGGTTTTTGCTATAGGGCGCGTGCGCTCGCTAGAAGACAGAGAGAGACTGAGACAGAAAGCAAGAAATCATCCCCCGGGGGATGGTCACGCCGCAATCCCTTCTCCTCCCTTCTCTTCTCAGGATCTTGGGCACACATGCACACGTGCCTGGCGTGAGTTTAAGCCACTGGGTCTGGGACTTAAACCGCGGTCAACTACGTGGGAGTCCAGCGACATAGCCATTACGCTAACTGCTGGTCCCCTAGGAGGTAAGTCTTTATCAGCTGGATGAGACAGACTTGGCCAGGGCAAGCTGGACAAGGGGAGGTAGGGGAGAGGGGTCAGCCCCAGGGATGCTTGTGTGAAGTGGTCATGAGGACGAGGTTGTGTGTCTGTGAGACACAGTGCAGGTGCCAGGCCAGGTGGCCACAGGAGGCGAGCCACGAGACTGTCCCCGCCACCTACTTAACAAGGCTTTGCCAAGCCATCAGCAAGTCTCTCTCAGGCTCTGGCTTTGCCTTCTCTGTTCATGAGAGAAGCTGAGAACTCTTAGCACTTCGGATGTCTTTTACATTTTTATGAGAAGCTAGGAAGGGGGATAGAGGAAGAGGGTAAGAGATTATTTTTTTATTTCATATTTTCACAGGGCACATGCACTTGCTAAAGAGAGATAAAGAGAGAGAAAAAGCACCCCACCTCAGTGGAGCATGGTCACACTACAATCCCTCCTCCATTTCTCCACACACATTTGGGGCACACACACATTCAGCATATTTTTCAAGCTGCCAGGGCCAGGATTTGGCTCCCTTAAACACTAGGCTACAAGGCCAGCCCAATAGAGAGAGGTATTTTTTGAGAGTCTCTTGCCACAATCCTGCTCCAGCTCCCAACCTCCCAGGCATGCACCACTACACCTAAACCGTTCAGGCTGGCAAATGAACCCAGATGTCCCATGTGGCCTCAGTCACTTGAACCACAGTGGCTGGGCCAGAGGTGCTTTATTTAGGTCTTTTATTATTATTATTATTATTATTATTATTATTATTTTGTTTTTATTTCAACCTATTCTATGCATTCAATAACTATACATCACCACAACCTGCAAAGTAAATCTACCCAACGCGAATGCACCTCCTCCAGTCCTGTTGAAGATACAATATGTTATCGACAATCATCCACTTCTGTGTCCCACAAATGTCTTGCCTCTCTATTTTTCTCCTTGATTCCTCTCCTCACACTCTCCCCCTTCTCCCACCTTCTTCCCAGAGGTGTTTTATTTAGATCTTAAACCCTTTACGAACACCAACCTTCCCCTCCCATGCGTTACAGATGCCTTGGCTTGGGCTTCACTGTCCTCATTGCTCACATATTAAGTAAGATAGGCCATTCCTATGCTGGATCCAGAGCTTCCTGTACAGTTTCTGCTTCTAGTTTATGGAGTGTTTGTCACAAGGGGTGGCTTGGATGCAGTATTTCACACCATGCACTCAAGCCACGTGAAGGACACTTCCACTTCCAGACACTGGCCCAGAGGACTTTGTGCAGTCAGTGGGGAACCCTGGGGCCTGAGATGAGGTCACTGCCTGGTCTCCTTTCAAAACTACATTCGGGGTGTTAGTGAGCATGTCTGAATATGTTGCAGTTTGTCTCCCCCCCCCCTTCTATTGGTGGATACTTGCTTTTTCTGCATTGGGTTTATTTTACCTAAAACTGCTGTGAACATTTTTGTTTGCACCCAAGGGCACTTGTTCCTCTTAGGTAAGTACCCAGCAGTGGAATGGCTGGGTCCATCAGAAACCTCCAGAACTTTCCATTGAAAGCCCTACTGCAAAGATATGAGCACCATGTGCTTCCACTCTCAGGCACTCCCAAGCAGCACCCCAATGCCACTACTACCTGGGGTATGGCAGAGTGTGGGGTCTCATATTCTCTCCACCAAGTACAGAGCGACCCAAGGGGGTCAGTCCCTCATAGGCTGCTTTGTCAACCAGGACGCTGGAGCTCCTGCCTGGTCTTGTCAGCACCTGGCCCAGGGCCCACTTATACACGACCTGGTCTGAGTCCCTTGAGTATGTTCATTTTGGCCTTTTCGGTCCCCATGTCCACCCATCAGCTCACAGAAACTAGAATGCACCTCACCTGAAGACAGGTCTCCCGGGCATTCTAGCTGAACTCCCTACCCCCACCCCTACCTTGGCTAGCCGGAAGTGAGCATGGCCCCCAGCCCACTGGTGCTCAGTCAGAGACCCACATTTGCCAACACTTTTATTGGGGCTCCACCAGGGCAGGGAGTATGCACAACATACGTAGTAGAGCCCGGGGAGCCAGCCCAGCTGCACCTAAAACGGTACAGATGGGTGCAGGTGGGCAGCAGTGCACAGCACCTGTACCTGGGGCACCCCATGATCCCACATGGTCCAACCTGGGGGCTGCGGCTTCGCCCCAGTGGACCCTGCTCAGATCTTGGCCAAGGTGGAGTGTACATCAGTGTGCTCCTCTTGGATGGGGGTCCGGAAGCTGTTTCCTCCTGGGGAGGAAGAGAGAGGAAGAAGTGGGAGGTGGGGCATCATCCTTCCAGAGGCACTTGCCCAGGGCTCACAGTGGGCACTCACCAGGGGGTGACCTCCAAGCTCTTCGGTGCAGATGCAGGGCCAGCAGAGCAGCCAGGGGGGCCAGTACGCCTAGGCCTACACCCAGGCCCAGGACTGCAGCAAGCGGGGGGTCTGTGGGGAGGGGCCTGCTGGGTGGGATCCATGGGGGACAAGACCTGAGGGCAGCACCACCTCCCTTCCCCACTCTCCTCTTTGGGTGGGGAGCCTTGCTAGGGCAAGGCCATGTCCTCTTACCCTTGGGGGTCTCAGAGGTGGTTGTGCCGAGCCCCTGTGAAGTCATGGGCCTGGCTGAGGTAGGCTGAGCAGTAGTGGGTCTAGCCGGAGGACTCTCAGTCTCCAAAGGCAGTGTGGCTGGGGGGCTCCTGTCCTCACAGACAGCATCCGAAGTGGGGCTAGCATGGTGCAGAGTACGCTTCCCTGCCAAGGTGCAGCTTGGGATGGGTAGGGGTGGGGTGCAAATCAGGCCAGAGATGCCTGGGACCAGTGAGATGTGGTAGTCTACACAGAGTCACCCTCAGGACCAAAGGCAGCCGAGGGCCCCTGCCCAAGCCCTCACCCATCCCAAATCCCAAGGTTTCTCCAGACCTTGTTCCCACCTCAATAAACTCAGCCCACCACCTCCCCACCACTTCCCTGCACTCAGCCTCTCCCTGTCCTGCTCCCCCCGAGGCCTCTTTGCTCCACAACTCCCTCTTTATTCCTGCCATCCTTGAGTGAGAACCCTATGAGAAGAGAGGCCTTCCAGCTGTGGATGGGTGATCTCACACACATTCCTAGGTTCTGGGCGATGGTCTCGCGTCTCCCCCTACTCACAGGCAGGGTCTCATACCTTAGCAAGCAGGGCTAGGTAGAAGCCATTGTGGAAGGAAGTCCCCAAGAATCCCCCTGGCCAAGAACTTCCTGGTGTCTAACCTGGCACCTAACTGAACCTCCTCACCCCAGTCCTCAACCCGAGTCCCTGAGCCCTCTGTGCCCTGCAACGCTGATCCCCAGCCCCAGCGGCCAGCCATGGCACTCACTTGGTCCAAGGCCTGCAGACCTGGTTGTTCCCTGGGGAGAAGTGGCCTGGAGGGCAGGGGGTACAGTCTGCAACAAAGACCAGCAGAGGCTCAGCCTCCCACTGCCACTAGGGGGACACCAGAGGCCAAGGTGTCTGGAGGTGGGACCTGTGGGACTAGGTGTTTAGCCCCCATGGCAAACTGGCAGGTTGGAGGGGCTTGGCCTCTGCAGGCCCCTCCCTGCCCACATCTCCCTCTCTGACCCTGACCAGCAAGCTGACCCAGAGCCCCAGTCTTGGGTAGGGAGTGCTGGGGGAAGTGCCAACATGGCTCATTTAGTTATTACTTGGAGTCAGGACACACAGAACCTGACTGTTGCCTGGTGTTGGCTTGCTGTGCATGGGCCCTGTCACTTCTCTCCCCCACTCCAGGTGGACAGGGCCACCCTGAGGCTCACCTACTCCAGGCTTGAAGCTTTCCAGGGGCTGAGTGCCTGGCCTGCAGAGACAGACGGTGTCCCGCGTGGATGTGCAATTCTGCTTAAGTTCGCTCCCACTTCCTGGGCAGAAGGCCAAGAGTGAAGTGTCATCAGGTTGGGGTAGCAGAGTGGGCAGGGCTATGGAGGAGGGTCCAGGAAGGAAGGGCAACTCAGGTACCTGCCTCCCCACAGTACAGGTGCAGAGTTGAGGTCTGCTGTAGCCTCAGCCAGACCAGGAACCCCCCTGAAACCCGGAGGGTGACCCACTTCAGGCTCTTTCCTCCTCCCCTCCTGAGACCTTCTCCTTGGACGTCTGTCCCTCCTGGTCCCATGGCTCCAGGGACAGCACTATGGTAGCTCCGGCCTCCCTTCCCTTCCCCCCGACCTGCAACAGCACCTGAGGCAAGGCCTCCATGACTAGCTCCCTCGCCTCCCTGCCCAGGTCCGCTCAGGCAAGGATACACAGCCAGCATGTGCTCAGTGCTGGCTCCATGTGGCCTGGGCTGAGCTACAACCCCCTGGAGAAGGTAGGTGCCTCTGGGGTATGCCCTGCCTCCTCAAGGGACCCCTGGGGCGGAACAGGCCCCACTGTGGTTTTGGGGTTTGTCTCTGCGGCTGTAGGGGGGCACTGGCTGCTGCTGCCCCCACGCAGGGCGGGACTGTGAGGGTCGGGGTGGGTGGGGCTCACTCTGATTGCATTGCGTGCAGGGCTTGCAGGTGTAGTAGTTGACCACCTCGTTGTAGAAGCCGGGATCACAGGGGAGGCACACAGTGTCCCTGGTATGGTCGCAGCGGCTTACCATCCAGTTACCTGTGCAGTGGAGGCCTGGGCTTGTGAACTCTGGGCCAAGGTAGGGCCTGTCCCCCCATCCTGGCAGACCTTTCGGCCACCCCACTCCCCAGAACCAATCTCCAGGCAGCCCCTCTGTCCCAGCCTGGAGCCAGGTCCCTTGGGGCATCCCCCACAACACCACCCCAATCTTGAGGCTGGGCCACTCACCAGGCTGGCATTCGTGACAGCATCTGCCGCTATTAGGATAGGTGTCCCCAACACAGTCAAGCCCGACCGCGGCACCAAGCATGAGCCCCAGGAGCAGGAGGGCTGAGCAGGGCGGCAGAGCCCCCACGCACATCCTCATCTCTGCCTTGCTGCAGGAGTCTGGGGTTTTCCTTGCAGGATGTGGCTATAAGGGCTGAGGGGGAGGGCTAGGGAGGGGCAGGAGGAAGAGAGAACCAGGAGGAAGGTGACCCTAACCCAGCCAGGCTGGAGACAGGAACTCTCTGGGTTTGGGGCTTCTCTTCTGTCCTGGGCCCCCCAGCTCGTAGTTGGACATCAAGACCCAGGGCCAAGGTGAGGACTGACCGGCAGCTCATGCTCACTTGTCGGCGTGTGCCCCAGAGCTTGACTCTAGCTAAACCATCATTAGAGGGCTGATGGTGAGGAAGAGAAAAAGGAAAAGAAAGAGGAAGCCCTTTATTTAGAGAGGAGTGGGGAATTGGAAAGAAGACAAAGAGACAGAGTAGCAGCAGACATAGGCAGTCTGAGCCTAGGTAGCCCAAGCAACTTGTGCCATAGCTTGAGCTGCCCAGACAAACTGGGCATTTTTATTTATAGTACAAGGCGGCACTACATATACATATTTTATGACATGTCATAGATTCATTGCCAGGTTACAGATAAGAAGAAGTAGGTAATAAATTTATAAGAGCTTAGAGGGACCAGCAGTTAGCGTAATGGCTATGTCGCTGGACTCCCATGTAGCCGACCACGGTTTGAATCCTGGACCCGGTGGCTTAAACTCACACCTGGCACATGTGTGTGCATGCCCAAGATCCCAAAGGAGAATGGAAGAGAAGGGATTGCAACGTGGCCATCCACACACCCCCGCCGGGGGGGTGATTTCTCACTTTCTATCTCTGTCTCTTTCTGGTGAGCT